CGCCCTATGGCATAGGTGCCCCAATCAGGCGTACCGTTCCAAAGCCAAATGATGAACGGTTCCATACCTGATTGGGGCGCCTATGCCATAGCTCTGCTAACGGTCCAGAAAGTTTGTAGACCATCAATAGACGGAACCACTCCAGAAATAAAATCTGCCATCACTTCCCCCTTCACATGGCCGCCTTCATATCGTCATAGCTTGCCGAGTCTGGCGAGTCTGGAATTGATTCAATTACCATTGGAGAGAGCTCGTCGAAACCTTCAAAATGTTATCTGAGTTGGTCTGATATCCACATGCGCTGAGAAATTTCGAGGGGTGAACCCTTTCTTTCGGTCAGCCTACAGTGTTAGTAACCGGTCCATGAAACAATAACAGCATTCGGAAAAAGGTTGGTATTGTCTGTGAAGAATAATACTTCAATCTCCATATCAGTCTTCTTCCCAGTGGCTCAACTAACTTGAAATTATGAGAATATAGCGCTGGAACCTCAAAGCCGAAGGGCTCGATCATTGATTCCTAACAGGTTACCGCTCGTAACGGTATTGTTGTGATCACAGCCGATCATGGTAACTGTGAGGAGATGAAGGACAAGAAGGGCAATATCAAGACCAGTCACACCCTTAACGCGGTGCCGTTCCTCATCGTTGATCCCAACTGTACGTTGTGCCACTGTCGAGGTTTTACTATGTCTCGAGCTCAGGTAACGGCAGATATGTCATCAACGCCACGCAGGATCCCGACATCGAAGAACCTTTCGCCGGCCTTACCAACGTCGCGGCATCTCTTTGCAATCTTCTTGGTTACGAACAGCCCCCACATTATCGGAAATCATTGATCGAGTTCACGGGTTAAGAAAATATTATGTTGTATTTCCACTGTGAAGATGATGGACGGTGACACCTCAACAGTATCGTGTCACCAGTATGAGGTTATTATGTGTCTCTCTGTATCAAGTAGCCGCTGTCAGTGCTACGACTGATTATTTGACTGAATCGCCTTCCAGGCTGTGGTTTGAATGCCTTTGGTTTTACGTCAATTCGTTGGGGACTTTTTTCAAGTTATTATAAAATTCTCGATGATATCCACGTCAGGAATCGAGCAACGTAATTTACGCTTCACTGGGTAGTACAACGCAGGAAGTAGACATGCATGAGCTTGGAATAGATATGCGTACCTTGCCATCAAGCTGAATGCAGCAGCACAGAAGCTCCAAAAGAAGATAGTTCTAAGCGAACTCCGTAATTTATCACTGCCAGATCCACAGCTAGTGAGTAAGGACCGACTCGAGTTGAATTAGATGACTTGTTGATCTCCCAGGTGAACTGGCGGATGTCATTTGGCGAGCAATTTGCGAGCCTGGTTTACGCATGGGCTTGACTTCTCTGAGGAGTTGGTCGCGGACATACTGCGTTCGTATGGCGCATCCGTATACTGTAGGGAAGTAGAGATCGAAGGACTTGAAGTTGTTTTTATGCAGGAGTGTAGGGGGAATCGTCTAGTAGAAGTGTTGAAGAGGATCACTGCTCGTAGCGACCAGCAGAAAAGCATGTTGGCTGTGTTGAGACACTGGAGAGAGGCTAGCAGGCGAGGCGAAGACGATAAGTCCACTTTGTGTGGATCTTCAACGGGAAACACACGTGAGAATTATCTCGTATTAGCCTACTGTATGTGGTAATTTGATATGCAAATTTGTGTGTTATTTTGGAGGGTAAAGGATAGTCGCTATCACAGTCTCAAACGGTTACTTTCATTGCATTATATATGAGATATAGTTTTCGAATCGATTATCATTAATCTCGGAAAATAACACACATTCGCATGTTGAATTGACACGTACTGTATTATACTATTCGATTTCAGCGATATCGAGTCGGAGAGAGAGCGGTCAAGTTCCAGTTGCTGAGATGAAGTATATTCTCAGAGTGTGGTTACTGACCATCACACAGCGACGCAGATCAGCTCGAGCGCTCTGTCAAATGCTCGGGAATTTAGTAAGAACATCGGAAAAGTTGGTTTTCTATTACTTCCTTGTAGGTTCGTCGCGAGCTACTGTATAGCTGGACTCGGTTGAGAAAGCACATGTTTGGACCTATGGACCAGGCTGTGGCTATTCGGGTAGCACCTACGGTGTGGATGAAATAGTTATGCATATCTAGATTTTCAATTCGAAAAAATCGTTGAAAAGGCGTTGAAAATATTACTTACTATGCGAATATTTGCATTTTTTGCAGGCATCTTACGAGACTGTAGCCCGAGTTATCGCGATGTGTGCTCCATCAGCCGAGACTACTCCAGCACGCCCATCGGTAATGCACAACTCATGTGTCTGGTCATCTCGAATAAATAGATGCTATCGGCTGTTCTGCTGGAGCACTCTCGAAAGGCCCTTGTGCTGGGGTGGGCCGCCTTGTCGCGATCGAGACTGGACTCGAATGCTAAGCGTCTACTGACGCGCATCTTGGGTAGTATCAGGGAAGGGAATCACAAGAACCTACGCTGTTCCCGGAGGGAAACCAATTTTCGCGTTTTTGGGTATTTTCCTCCCACACTGTTAGATAGATGCAAGACAATACGCGTTCATCATAAAAATTATTTTCCAAAATTTTCTGGGTATTTTTCTTTGTTTAGATGGCTGGAAGTCAGTCCGCGTTGACCACCAGAGGGCCACTCGACAGTTTACTCGGATCTTGAGCCATGCTGTCAGCAGAGTGTGGCGACATGTCATCACCAGAATAGGAAGGAGTAATAGACAGTACGAGATTTTGTCTAGTCGTGACCATCCGTCTCAGCGTCTTCGAAGAGTAGTCGGACCTCTGCAACCAGGGTGATATTCATGGTTATCAGTCTGGGGTTACTAAGGAGGATACGCCCAGCTTGGGCAGCTCTACAGCGCAGTGTTGTGCATAGACCTCATGACGAGTACATTAGATGCACGCTCATGCTGGCAGGCTTGAGGAGACCAGCGCTGAGAGTGGTAAGAAAAGTTGCGGCAGTTTGTATGAATTAGCATTTTATAGGATAGTTGTTGTGGATGGGCAACTCGTTGAAAAACTCATCTATGAAATTGATTGAAATTGCATGTATAGTATATGTGTAGATTCGCAATATCATCTCATATTTTCAGGTGGGCTCAGCTCTACGACTACTTGCCAGCCCTCCCCTGCCTCGACGGAGTAGATCTCTATCTGTTGGTGACATGAATGCGCCTCGGAATAGACGAGCCAGTCGGATGAGCATCAGTCGTGGAAACAATCCCAGGGTAGAATTGAGCGTGTGGAAGGTTATTCATAGGCTGCTACAGTGTTGGAGTAGGAATATATGTAATCGCTTTCCTCAGCACCTGAGCTCAGGAGTTTCCTATACAGTGTTGGAGTAGGAATATATGTAATCGCTTTCCTCAGCACCTGAGCTCAGGAGTTTCCTATACAGTGTTGGAGTAGGAATATATGTAATCGCTTTCCTCGGCACCTGAGCTCAGGAGTTTCCTATACAGTGTTGGAGTAGGAATATATGTAATCGCTTTCCTCAGCACCTGAGCTCAGGAGTTTCCTATACAGTGTTGGAGTAGGAATATATGTAATCGCTTTCCTCAGCACCTGAGCTCAGGAGTTTCCTATACAGTGTTGGAGTAGGAATATATGTAATCGCTTTCCTCAGCACCTGAGCTCAGGAGTTTCCTATACAGTGTTGGAGTAGGAATATATGTAATCGCTTTCCTCAGCACCTGAGCTCAGGAGTTCCCAAAGCTAATCATAGAAGTTCACTTCCAGAAACCAAGAAGATCTTCCCTAAAATTTCCCCAGAATTTTCATATCGTCGCCGACACATGTAGTCGGTCATTTGCATATTTTCCTCCCACACGAATCGGGATGAGAGACGACCCTTTTAGCGTTGCGAAATTAATTTCCCCTAGGGTTTGGTAACAATGGGGATAATGATGTTTCTAATGTGATGACATTTACATGGGAAACTGATTGAAGAATTTGGAAAATTTAAAATGATTTTTTGCTCAGGACGTCAGAGAGATCGCTCTCGCGGCGCTAACCAGGGGAGTGCTGGTGGCGAAATTCCATTCTAAGAATGGTCGTCGCGTCTCTCGTGTATTGAGAATTATCAAAACTCCTCAGTGAGAAACGATAGCGTTGTTGTGCTACTTGTCTGATTGTTTTACGATCAGAGGATTGTCACTGAGCTGGTGGGGAGGAGGGCCTGCGATGCTGCCGGGGCATTCTAGTCGAGGCTTAGTAGAGGAGATAGAGGCTTGCCTACATACATATGAGGATAGTTGGAGTACGTATGATCATTCTTCCCAGCTCAATTTCCCCAGAATTTTCTTTTTGCCAACCAACACCATGTGCATATTCCCAATACGTATTAAGAACGATACCAATCGTCAGTTTTGAAGTATATGTTCGCTTTCCTCATGAGGAATTTACGTATGAATTCGGGTAGAAGTATTCCGAAAATTTCCTCGCAATTTTCATATTATCACCAACAAGTGTAGTTGACCATGTGCATTGTTGCTAGCCGTGTGTCAGTGTTAAAGTATATGTTTGCTATTTTCACGAGAATTTTCCCAACTAATTCTGGAAAGTCTACAGAAACCAATAGGAATTTTCCGAAAGTTCCCCAGAATTTTCCAGAATTTTCATATTGTCATCATCACCAACACATGTAGTTGACCATGTGCATATTTCCAGTACGTATTAAGATCGATATTAATCGTCAGTGTTGGAATATATGTTTGCTATCTTCGTGATAAGTTTCCCAGGTAATTCTGGAAAGTTTACAGAAATCAATAGGAATTCTCCGAATTTTTCCCAGAATTTTCCGAAATTTTCTCCCAGAATTTTCATATTGTCGTCATCACCAACACATGTGCATATTTCCTCTCACACTGCCTTTCAGAGCTAGACTTGACAGATGACACTGCACTGGGGTTGGTCATAATATTCAAGTCGCGACGTTTGGGAATATGCCTGTCGTCCCTCCGAGATCTTCTTATTGTAACTTCTGCACTGCAATGGTTCGCTCATACAAAGACCTTTCCTCGTGGTGAGATCGCGAGGGAATGTATAATACTCCGGGGGGAACTCATTGCAAATTTGCATACCATTTTATTGCGATAGATATAATATGATTATTATGAAATATTTGAGTTTCACCACCCTAGTGATATGAAAAACACTAGTGAAAAATACATTTCACGACAACTGCATACCACCGCGAATATGGCGTTTTTCACAGAGTATCACGACGCCACTTCCCGTAAAGTTTTTTTGTTGGATCTTGTTATGTATGCTATTCTGGATGCTTTTTCCTCGGTGGAGTTTCACCACCCTAGTGATATGAAAAACACTAGTGAAAAATATTTTTCACGAGATCGCGTTTTTCACAGAGTTTTACGCCATTTGCTGTAAAACGGGTGAAACTCCAATAACATATTCATATTAATATCTACAATTTTCCAAATTCTTCAATCAGTTTCCCATGTAAATGTCATCACATTAGAAACCTCATTTTCCCCATTGTTATCAAACTCGGAGGACGCTGATGATACTATTTTGCAGGTGGGCGTCTATCCCTCATCATTTCGTTTATCAAGAGGAGACTTGCCCGGGAGGGGATGACGTTCAATGAAGCCCTGCTCTCCGCTTTGCATACTCATGAGAGTGACTGATGCCATCTTGGCGTTATATGCATGAAGTGATGCGTGCACTCTTGAAAGGATCTGCGTTAGTGGTTCGAAAGGCTGCAAAGCTCCGCGATGAGAATGTGGAAAAATTGCTCATTGTCAACTACAGTAGTTGACAGTTAGCGAATTTTTGCAGTTTTTTTCCAGTTTTTTTCCAGTTGTTTTTCCAGTTTTTTTCCAGTTTTTTCCAGTTTTTTTTCAGTTTTCGAGGAATTTGGAGGAAATGTTAAACATTCCCTCGAAATTTCTTTATTGTAGTTGACAACTACGATAGAAAAATTTCGAGGAAATTACTGCTGGCTTAAACTGTACTTAGTGTAGGAACGGCACTAAGAACAATACTTAGTGTACGGCTTAGTGCAGGAACGCAGTTTCTCCAAAACAGTTGACTGCAGAAAAGCCATATTCAATTTTGTCGATGTTTTTTATCCCGATGGTCTCCCGTGCTCCTACCAGTCGGAGCGCCGTTGTCTCTGCCAAGAAGTGCCCATTTCGGACTGGCGCTGGTGGTGGTATTAGTAGTAGTGATGACGTTGTTGCTGCTGGAGGTCAGCATCCGTAGATGGAGGTCCCGGAGTATGTGTCGGCCGTCAAAGTAACAAGCAAACACGTATGAATGCCATACTCTCCTTGGTACAACTCCTCCTCGAGTTGAGTGTGTAAGTATTGTGATAGTAGTGCTGAGTTCTCATGATGGATACGCCTTATTCACATGGTCAACTAGGGGTGTTGATATCAATGACAAAATTTGGGGCTGTTGCTTCTCGTACTCCTCTACCCTGAGTCGTGTATGAATTTTCATAAGGTAGCTTTGGAAACGCCCGAGCTCAGCTGTTGCACAGAAAATATGCGATACCGTCACTGTATCACTGCAGTGTTAGTGATGGTAGTTGAGTAAGGAACCAAACACATATAGTAGTAGAGCATGTGTCGTGGTGGCGAATGGTCGTTTGTGAGCATACGTAGTGTTATGTCTCATTTTGTGCGATCGCTCCAAGATATGGTGTTCACTTAGATTGTGATAAGCTAAGGTAGATATTTTCATGATTATTAAATCTCTTTATCAACTCCATCATTGTTATATGGAGTTCACCATCCTGTTGGTGTTTTGCCCATTGAGATAACACTACACTGAATATAATTGCAGGACAATGCCTTAACAGGCCGGATTATACTTAGCCGTCGAGGACTATCTTCATCATAGGCTCAGCTCAGAGAGACATATTGTGCGCTACGGGGGAATGGGACGGCGACAATGATGCAGCAGCATCTTACAATCCCTAGGATCACAACAGTAGTCGAGTTCTCACGTTTCCTCCGATTTCAGTGATCGCCTCCTCCTAATGTGGCTTTTTTCATCAACACTTCTACCCGTTATCTGCTGGGCCTTCCTGCTCTACTTGGGATGGGGGCCATGGTACTCTGATAAAACGAAGAACTTGGTAGGGTTGGAGAAATATATGTGCGTTTTCCTGAGCTGAGCTTGGGAGTACTTTCCAAAGCTAGTTGTAGTAGTCGATTTATGGTAGAAGTGTACAGGTACCAATGAGAATTTCCCCCCCAGAGATTTCATATTGTCACCGAAATTGATCATGTACATATTTTCCCAACTTAATAGTCGCAGCTTATTCTTGCTATCGTGGTCAACTTAGTAAAGATGTGTACGTAAGCACACAGCGAACATAAGACACACTTTGACGCATTTGTTATGCCAGACTCAACACGTGAGAAAGGTGTATCAAAACTGTCGTGAGTATTGATGAACCAAGCTCGTAAGATATAAGTGGAATCCAATCTTATAAAACCTCTTATATCATCAACGACTAGCGCAGCTTGTGCTATGTCTTAGCTAAGATATGAATGGAAGTGAAATAACACAAAACGAGGATGCGAACCTAGAAGATCTTAGCTGAGATCACCACACTTACTTTTTTCTTTGTTGCCTTCGTGGAAGCAATCAGGACCAGAAATGACAACACTGGTTTGAGCAGCAACATAAGCTGAAGTGCACCCTGTCGTGAGTATTGATGAACCACCTCGTAAGATATAAGTGGAATCCAATCTTATAAAACCTCTTATATCATCAACGACTAGCGCAGCTTGTGCTATGTCTTAGCTAAGATATAACACAAAATGAGGATACGAGCCTGGAAGATCTCAGCTGAAATCGCCAGAAAAACTATGTTTATTTCATGTTGGAATCGTCTAGTCTCGAGCACAGCGGAGCGAAGTGTTCCACGATGCGCATTACCTTTGAACCTACTCTACAGCAACTTGATCAGGTGAGAACAGCAGCATACACGTCCGAGATCACAACGCTGAGTCGAGGGAATCACCGCACATATCGTCTATCGTTCCGCCGTTATGAACCGGGGTACGGCCGAGCAGATCAGACCGCGTTCTTATTTGTGCATGGCCATCTTGTAAGCTCCGTACTGGTGTGGACCAAACAGCTATGCATATGTAGATTTTCGAGATGGTTTTATTCGATTTGCGAGGATGTGTGTAGACTACGGAATACTTCTGAGGTGGCGTTAATCGGTTCACATTGTTATCATGTTGATTTTACTCAAAATTTGAAGTCGTTGAACATGTTACTTTGCATAACGGTTTAGTTCACATTAGAGTTTCACGACCCGTTTTATGTGAAATGGCGTAATACTCCATGTGAAAAGACGATATTCGCGGTGATATGAAGTGAGTTGAATATACCTCGTGAATTACACCGGGCAGATTACTTCATTTCACGTGAAACACTTGCAGCATTTCACATGTTTCACGCGTTTTTCATATCACGTTTACGTGAAGTGGCGTGAAACTCTGTGAAAATAGCGATATTCGTGGTAAAATATTTTCCACTAGTGTCTTATATCACTAGGGTGTAACACCATTGTATTGCATGGACCCTACCTCAGGGGAGCTATCGCCAAGGCCTCAACCTGGCTGAATGGAGCACTACTAATCGAACTGTTTGGTACACAGTTGACTTCGCACCGGCCTCTCTCGCTGCGTGTAGCGCCTGTGAGATACAGGCCCAAGCTGACTATGTCGTGTTTGTTCTGGTGACGCTGAAGAAACGTCATCGGCGTGTTGTAGTGGTAGCTCACTCCATGGGAGGTATCGTCGGCGATTTCGCCCTTGCCGCTCTCGGAAGTGATGATATTAGTGTACATATCAACGTTCCATGGTCTTGGAGCCATCCGATTTTCATACACCCCGCTATGGCCAGCTATGGAGAGGGGACCAATACTGGTGTCAATCGTCGGAGGCTATCATTTTCTAGTGGCCTACGTGATAACATAGTTCCGACGGTTTTCACTGAGCCCGGGACTCTCGAGCTGAGCCGAGTGCGAAACGTGTATGAAAGTTACACTCATATAAATGTATTATTTTCGAGGCCTTTCCTGAGTATGTTTAAAGAGCAAGTTTTGCCACTTGTTTTGGAGGATCGTGAACACTCCTCATCCAATGTGATCGATGCCCGCAGACTGCTCACTGAGGGGTTAGGACAGCGAGTGCACGCGGAGGCTGATCTCATCCGAGTTGGCGCAGAAGCTACGTTAATCGATGTCAATCAGATCAAACGAGTTGGACCTGGGGTGAGCACATTCCGTGTGGAGGGAGTCCACGACTACTGGCAACTCACCGTTGTTTGTGTTGTTCCGAAAACGCAGCTACCTGTGGATGAGATAGAAGCAGGCAGTGCTGGGGATGACTTCAGTACGGCAGATCTGATAGTGCCTCAGCTGAGCGTCTATATCGGGGGTGTACAAGGCGACTCGGTCTCTGTTCCTTGTGATTATATAGCACACCCCCAGAGGGTTACTCTGTGCATGGCGAGCCCATCAGAGTATGGAGGAGAAGTGGCCATTTCTAACGGCAAACTAATCGTCCACATTGACTCTGATTCTACTCTTCTCGTGATAGTGAGCAATGCACGCAGGAAACGGGTGAATTCTGGTGTCTTGAGTGGCGAACTCATTGTCGTGGATGAGGTAATCTGCTCGCTAAGGCAGAGTCCTTTTCCCTTGAAGATCCGCGAGGTCCGAGGCCTGGTGGTCATCCCTAGTGGTGATGATTACCCGCATATTAACGACGATCTGTTGGTCGTACGTACCCCAGATGATGACGTTTACTCTAGCCCGATTCGCTTACCATTCAGCGTAGACTGGCAACAGGTTGTAGTGACCACAGTGCGTGGCCACACCAGTGAGTGTTTCTATCACTCGCAGTCTCGTGAACCGTTCCGTCAGGTTCGGCGATCGCAATCTTCCTGGTCGCGTTGAGGTTCCATCGTAGTCGCTCAGGACTACTCCTAGCAATGCTAGTTTTGATGCTCAGGATTGTTTACTCGTGTCGTGAACCATGGCAGGTGAGTTCAGGGCTAACTCCCCTCAAGGCTTGATAACAATGGGGAGAATGATGTTTCTAATGTGATGACATTTACACGAGAAACTGATTGAAGAACTTGGAGAATTCAAAATGAACATTATAGGTTCCCGGATGATTCCCTGAGCGAGTTCAACCATGCACTTCAATTCGATGTCAATTTCAGGTCGTGCCAGAGTTATTGCTACTCGTCGTATCAGCCGCAGCAGGCGTCAGTCTGAGCTCTGCTCTATCCAAGAAGACTCGTGTCGTTTCAAGGCGTTTGCTGCTTCTATTGGCATTGTCTACGCCCGTAGCACCTCCTCTAGCCATTCTACTTAGTGCATTTTGTCATATGTATGCTGGGAACACAGATTGGGCTATCAGCTCAGGTAAATAGTATCATCATGAATCAGAAAAATACTCGTTAAATTTGAGTATTGTGCGAAAATATGCACCTGGTCAACTTCGATGACAATATGAAGGAGTTTCTGAGGAGTTTTCTTGTTATGTGCACTTCTAATCGGATTTGTATACAAAATCCCAAACTTAAGAGGCAACTCCTGAGCTCAGCTGAGGAAAGCGATTACATATATTCTAACGCTGATTCAAGATTTCTCGATCGACCCGTCGTGAACACCTGTGAAATCTGTCAGTTCTCGTGAGCTACCAGTCGATACTGTGTTACGTTGCTCACATGTGGTATGCTCCTGACGAGGCCATCAGCATCACCATGGACTTGCACTCGGCACTCGATAACGTCATGGCTTTGACGAGTATTTCCATACTGTGGCGTGTAAGAGGAAACCATGTGGTCGAGGTGTCTGTTTCTCGATCAGGGACCTGGTATCGCCTCCGTCGTAGTAATGAGCTCACTGTTTATCCCCATCATAGTCATGGTAAGCACTATCCACATCAGTTGCTTATGGTGGGGCGTCCTCACATTGGGAGTCGTTGAGACCCTCTGTGGATGAAAAATTGCCTATCCCTGCACGGTGGGACTATCTCGTCAGTTTATGCTTCAGAAATATTGATTGTAGAATACGAGATATGTTGCGTCCTTCATAGGAATGTTATTCTGATCAACTACTATGAAAATATTCAGTCACTTTGAACGCTACCGAATTTCAAATGAACATTCTCACATTAACACGTAACATGCGGTACAACAACATCATGTAGACGCAGTAGGACGATCCAAAATGAGTTCGTAATCTTATTTCCCCTCGATACCATCGAAGATGTCCACCCAACCCCATCTTGGCCTCTTTCCTTCATCCGCACCCCACTGTTCTGGGTGCTTTCTCTGGCTGGTAAAATGCTCCTCGATTTTCTTGGCGATCGCGAAGCACTTGCCCTCTTCAAATGGACGGCAAATCACCTGCATTACGGAGTATCTCTCAATTCCTCAATATTCGAAGCCCACCTGTATGCCGATGGGGAGCTCATCCTTGTTGTTTTTGATTGTCACAGTGAGGGAGGGGAAACCCATAAGATTCGAAGGCCATATATATTTGAGCATCTTCGATATCAGAGTAGCATCGAAAAGTCCTGACATCAGCCATCGTAGAAGAGGCCCATTTCCGCATCCTACCATGAGCATCAACCCCTGCCTTGATAGGTTGTGCTGGGAGTGCCATGGCCGGTGTCATCACGACATCCATCTTCTCGAATTGCTCCATCCTGAATAGAAGGGTGAAATCTCAAAACGAGTATTAAGTTACGTACCATTGCTCAGAAGCCCATCTTTTCATGCGTTCAGCCGCATCAGTAATCGAATCATCGATGTTGCTTCCTAGAGCGAGGGAAATCTGTGGGAATACGGCTGGAGTACAAAACGGAGTCTGACCGGGCACCTTGGTATTCGGCTCGAGAATACTCAGTTTGTCATCTTTATGGGCTTGATGGAATTCGGAGGCGATGGTCAGAGCTGCGGAAGGCACAGATTGAGTCCTTTTATCGGCCGAGACACTTACTATGAGCCAAGGTTTGGTGTTTCCAATGAGTCATGACGAAGTCGTCCTGGATTGCCCAACCCTCCTGCTGATTAATCCAATCACGAACTTCATAGAACATCTATGAATGTAAAGTTTCATGTGAGGTCGACCACGACGCGATAGCGGCCATGTACTCACCGCTTTGATTTCTGGATCGCTATCTTCTACCCAGGCGGTGTCGTATCCAACTGTGAAGGCGGGGTCTTCTGTATACAGTGGACAGAAGTCAATCTTCGGCATCGGGGAACCGAATTTTTCATGGTATATTCTATCGAAGGAGTGCTCTCCTGGAAGGACAATGTCTGTCCGATTCCCTGTAAGTTTTTTGAGCTCACCATCGTGCTTAGTATTGGCCATGACGCTCAATACAATAGCCGCGTCAGCAACACTGGTGGTTATAGGGCCACAGTGGAGCGTCGTGAATATTTCGGTCTCAGCGTTTTCATATCTGACCTAAAGAACAACACGACACCAGCTCCCACGTGGATTCCAATTAATTACCAACTTACTGTGCCGAACGTGGGAATAGCTCCGACAACACCAGACCACGAAGCCGGTATACGTACTGATCCGCCTCCGTCGAATCCGATGGCGAACGGGAACTGCCATGCTACGACATTTCCTCGCGCTCAATCATCAGCACTAGCTCACGATCCCAAGAGCCACCCCGGTGGCACTGCCGCTGGAACTCCCTCCAGTGTAACGACTACGGTCGAAGGCATTCAGAGGTCCGTGATGCCAGACTGAATGATGACGCATCATTTGGGAGGGGATCCATCAGCTTGAAGAACTCTCACCATTGTATCCGACAGGGCTGATTCCATATTCATGCATGACGCTCGTACCGAAGAGTATGGCACCAGCGTCGAGTAGAGCTTGAACAACAGGGTCGTTTTTGGTCTACCATCACGACAGAGCGTGATAACGTACGATATTGTGGCTTTCCATAATGGTAGCTTACGGCGTATTTGTTGAGGCGAGGGTTCTTGGGATCTCTAGGATTCGTCCCCACGAGTTCCAGTAAGCCTTTGACCTGGATAAAGAGCATTGCATCCTGCTGTCGCAGTCCCCACCGCCTACACTCATTTCATCCTTCACGATGAAAGGGATGCCATCCAACTTTGACAGCGGCTCGCCCTTATCGAAGCGTTCTTTGCTCGCTTGAGCCGCCGTCTTGATTTCCATCCAATTGAATTTCCCCGCCATGAAGTGAAAGTGCTCATCCAGGGCTTCCATCGAATTCCAAACATTCTGCACCAAGGGGTCATGCAGGTTTGGGGAGAAAGCACTTGAGAGCTCACTTGGGCCACCTTGACTGGGCACAATCTACCTTCTTTGTACGCCACGTGATACTCCTCGATTGAATGATAAGGTTTGCTGGGCCTTTCGTCAAGTATTGGACCCTGAGTCAGATGAGTGTAGTCTCAACACACCGGAATGGGTATGAGCTCGCTACCTGACTGGGATTGGACCCTTCTTCTTCGGGATGACTGGCCCCCTCCCCTGAAGGCTACAGGATATGAACAGGCGTCTAGTATTACACACGCGCGAGCTCGACGGATGATCGTAAGAGTTGGATGAGTAATTCATTGGCATCTTCTTGGACTCACGGAGTTTATAAATTGGCCATTTCATCCTCTCAACTCCGATGTTTTTTGTGAAGGTTTTGAGGTCGGGAACCTTGCCAATGATCACTATGATGAGGGAGCATATCAGTGATATTAAGAAGCGAGAAAGCGAGAAAATAAATTTGTCCGGGCACGGCCGGGTTGATTAATGAATCTTGATTAACTCACTCCAATATCTTTGAAAGTCTTCCCGGATACTATCTTCCGGACATTTCGTTTAAATATGTTATCTCCCGTGACCATGGATCCAGCGATCTGAAAGGACATTTACAGCAAGCAAAACTATGGTGCTCTGGGAATGGGAAGTCCTTACCTTCAGAGGGCGACCTGTCATCGGCACTAGTGGCATAGCTTCCAGGTCATAGTTCTCGAAAGACTGCTTCTGAGCATCTGTCGTCTGTGCTGTGGTCTCCTCTGGTCTCCTCGATCTGGTAAACATCTTTCTCACGCTACGTACACTTCTGCTGAATCTTGAGCCCCTCCCCTGAGGATACAAGAACGTCTACGCTTCTCTCACTATTGAGTTCTGAACGGCAACCCACCGGATTGCCCTTGGATCTAGCTTGACGAACCTGGAACAGAGAAGGACGATATGCTTCATCTCAAAGCGCCGAATCAACATTTTATGCGAGCTAGGTATTTTCTCAGTTATGACCAGCCGCAGATAGATTCACCTTCTTACGGAACTCGCGGCTTTGAAAACAGGGGCGACGGCCTCTGAAACATCCGCTAGTAAGAGTAGCAATGCGATGTAGATGCGCATGTGAGATATGACGGCGGGATATGAGACAAATACGTATCTGGCTGATTGTGGAATTTTCAAGCGCTCGAAATACCTCAGACTCGCTCGTCAAGAGACACCATGCAAGGGCGATTGCGAGGAGAGCTTTTCCTCGCACGGAATAGAATATCGTGCTGGTGATGACGAATACTTCATAAGCTCGCTGAGAGTCCCCAAAAGCATTACTACACAAACAATGACCTTGTTGATGCATTGGCGAATACTTGGCATATTGTTGAGGTTCCAGTGTATGGCTCGAATTGTGAACTATGACGGCGCTATGCTAATGTTGGGAAGTGCCCATCTCGCTATCGATTCAGTGCATAATATTTGAGATTGATAGGATGATTCTCTACTCGCGCGTGTTGTACTGGCCTCTTATACGTTCTCGCCCCGGGAAACAGGCGTCGATGCCTGGACACCCCCTACTCGGATATATGATCTTCTCGCAGCACTATTTCGAACAACACGATAACAGAGTTCTTGAAACGGGGCAACTAGTCGAATATGTTTGTAGAAAAATCATCAAACCGGCCAGCAGACTGGTTCGGTTCCCAACAAACGTTAATGTCCATGTCTCGAAAACAGCCAAGTCTATTTCTCAATCGAACTCAGAATGTCTATCCAGTTCTCATGAGGCCTTCTTCGCTCATCAGCAATGATCTTCTCCACTTGCTCGGCCAAGGCCAGACACTTATCATCCTTCCACTGCGGGCACATCACCTGAGCAAGTAGCATTAAACTCCCAGCATCAAAGTGTCCCACATAGAGTGAGAGCTCACCAGCAAGCCGATCGGCATCCCTTGAGCATCGTAGCCTATTGGGACTGTGACAGAGGGAAACCCGAGGAAGTTCGTGGGCCAGATATAGCGCATCATTCGAACGAAGAGTGGGGAATCGGAGATGCCTGATAGTAATATCCATGAACTAAAGGATGAGAAGAAATGAATTCATCGCTTATCGCTTGATTTGCAATCTTACTAAGGTTTCAAATACCCCCATCTCATCAAGAAAGCTCGAGATCCATGCGATGACAGAATCGAATAGGCGTACGTAGAATCGATTCTCACCGTGCGCTTTGGCGTCTTCTGGTATTGGGATTGATGTGAGAGGCAACGTTGGTGTGACTATAGCGTCCGCCTTCTCGAACACGGCAGTCCTAAGAAATGCGAGTCCGTTCAAGACGAGGTCTGCTGAGCAGACTCTGCTCTTTCTCCACTGACCATTGCTCCATTGACCAGCCCTTCAGTCGCTCCATTGCGAGCCTTTCAAGTGCTGTGATATCTCTTCCGATACCGAGTTGAATCTGAGGAAAAATCCAGCGATTTAACGATATTCTGCGGCGTGAGAGAATTTATCTCACCTGAGTGCCTGGTTCCAATCGAGGGATGATTTCATAATCAAGGACCTTGGCGAATTCGGCACTTATTGTAAGAGCTGAATGAAATCGAAATGATCACTCACGCACTCTCGTGACTCACCGTGTGAAAGGCCTGAGCGCCCATGTTGGGCATTGTGAAGTTGTGTATGTTCCAATCCAGCGCATGTAGTATTTTTCAAAATGCCTGTCTCACAGCATCGCTGATCTTCTCAAGCACACAATCAACAACCTACACTGTAGACTCCCGGATCACTGTGGCGAACCCAATCCTGAAAGATCCCAACAGTAGGCTTGTGGTTAGTCTCTGGGCTGGTCAATGCATGCAGATGGACTGCAGGACGCCCATCGGGACCGTATAGACGATCGTAGATATGGGGCACTGAAGAGAAACCACAAATACTCGGGCGACACCTCAACCTAGCTACTGTTGTTACCTTCATGCTTAGTGTTGCCAATTACTCGTAGGACATGAGCTGCATCCGCGACGGTCGCTGCGATTGGGCCACAATGAATGACAGAAAAGAAAGGAGTATCAGTCGTTTCGAAGTTGACCTGTGAGCTTGCGTGCAGGGCTATGTCACTCTAAGACGGCTCACTCGACCAAAGGTGGGCGCCAGGCCGACAACACCGGACCATGAGGAAGGTATGCGTATCGATCCACCTCCATCAAACCCAATGGCGAACGGTACCTGTGCATAGATAGTGAACAGTTGGACCTGAGACGCATAAGGGCTCACCAGGCCAGCAGCAACAGCCGTGGCGCTTCCACTAGAACTACCTCCTGTGAAGTAGGAGGTATTGAAAGCATTCAAAGGGCCTTGATACCAGCCTACAATAACAGTACCGCACCAAGGGGCGGTAGTGGAAGATTCCCTACTGTTGTAGCCTAGTGGAGACACACCGTACTCATGCATCGTTGTTGTACCCAGGAGGATGGCTCCAGCATCTAGAAGGGCTTGCACCACGGGATCGCTTTTCTTCTCCTATGTGATGATTGGAGTATCGGAAACCAACAATTCAGGAACTTACCGCCTTGGCTGCGCCAGGCAAACGATTATTGGGATCAGTGCCGAACATATTCGGAAGTCCTTTTACCTAAGCAGCCTTGTTCGGCTTGGAGAGTCTCAACCCAGAGCTTACAGTTAACTCGTCCTTCACAGCAAAGGGGACACCATCGAGCATAGACAGGGGCTTCCCCTCAGCGTATCTTTTATCACTCGCCTTAGCCATCGCCATTATTTCTGACTCAGGAAGAAGATCTTGGATGGCCTTGATGGTTGGATTCAACTCGGCTACTGCCGATAATACACGCTGAAAGGATGTAGTCCGATAGAGCGTGGCGATAAGCCTCCGAGCTCACCGTGATAACTTGTGTCGGAGTTCGACCAGAGAGATAAGCCCGGTGGTAATCCTCAATGGTATTATACAGATACTTACTGCTGTCCAGCTGGCTGAGGTACTGTGTTGGATTCTAGACATCATAACAATGCGTACAAAAACAGGCAGAGGGGTACGCTTTATTTTATCCAACTACGACGGTCCAGCAATATGTCGGTGAAAAGTCAATCTCATTTTACCTCCGAAAGTTGAGAATGCTCTTCTTCAGCATATCTCCGTGCATTATTGAAATCATCATCGTCTGAAGAGCAAAAACTGTCGCTCTCTAACCAGATCAATCATAGAAAATGTTCGGTGACCTACCGAGTCTCTGAATGGGCATCCCCAAAGATGGTATTCTCATGTCCACTTGCAAGGCAAGCTGTCGTAATGTTTCAGGCTGGAAGGCAAATCGGCATCGTACAATCCAAACGACAGCGCAGGATGCTCACGTGATTGCTATTCAGCAAAGCTCTTCTTATGATACGACCACCTCTCCATTGCCCTAGTATCCACGCCAGGACCTGACAGAAGGTAGAGAATGGGCCCATATGCGAGAGGCTTGCCTGGAGTTTAGTTCCCGACGCAGTGGGCGCAACCAAGTCCTCTACATCATACCCGCCTTCACCAAGAACAGGAACTGGACCATTCAAGTCAGACAAAACCTGAACAAAATGAACTTCGCATCGGCTGACCGTGAGGGTCGCGATAAACCACGGTTA